TGACATGCATCTATCCAAGCTCAGGAACTCCTTTCAGAAAAAATACAAAGTAAAAATTATTTTAAAAATATGAAATCAGTTCACACTTTAAAAAAAAACCTGTCCAGATGGGAGTCTCCTGACATCACAGACATTTTATTCACTCTCCATACAGTGGGACTTTGAGGGAGGAAAGGGCAATGTGGGTTTTCAGATGTACTTATGAGACAATAATGCTACTGTCAGCTGTTGCCAGGTCATCTGTACATCTGTAGTGACCCCATGTACATCAGGCCCAAACCATCGTTATCAGGTTTCTCTTGATTGATTTTGGGAAGAGATTACCAAATCTTTCCTCCTAGTCCGTATTCGCTCTACTGAAAGCTAGTCAGCAACACTAAGGCATCGACTGGGTAGCAGCTGGACACGAGGTGTGTTGTCTGGGAACTGAACTCAGATCTCTTATTCAGAAAGAATGCAAAGGTCATATCATTTCCAACTCCTGAAGCTTCCACTGGGTTCTGAGGCTGTAAATCTTTATGGGAGGATACCATTCCTCTTCCCTCCAGAGAGGACTGGTAGATCAGAACTATAAGTTAGCAGCTCACCACGTAATGCACCATGCCACCAAGGATCCTTCTACCACTGATGTTGTTTTTGTTTGTTGTTGTTTGGGGAGCTCTGGTGGCCTAGTAGTAAGAAGCTGAGCTGCAATCGCAAAGCCACATAGTGTGAATATATCTGCTCTGTGGGAGAAAGATGAGCAATCTCTTCCTGTACAATTTACAGCCTCCAAAACCTTGTTGGAAGGTCACCTACCACTGATGAGGTGGTGTTTGTTGTTGAGTCCTAACTAACCCATAGCTTACCCTCCAGTGGGTTTTCAGAGGTTGTAAATCACATGGGAAGAGCTTTCTCATCTTTCTGTGACAGAGCAGCTTGTGGATTCAAATCACCTCCCACCACTAAGCTATCAGAGCTCCCTGCCACTCACACTGTTGTTGTTGGCTGCTGTTGAATATGACATATAGCAGCCCTGTGAATAGCTGACAGGAACCCTGCCCTGTCCTGCACTATCCTCACAATCTTTAACACACCAGAGACCACTGCTGAAGTCACCATCTCATTAGTCAATCTATCTCATTAGAGGTCTTCTTCTCTTTGACTGACTCTCCATTTTTCCAAGTATGATGTCCCTTTATTTACCTTGTCACTCACACTGTTGTTGTTGTTAGGTGTTACTGAGTTAAGTACAACCCTATGAACAACAGATCTGAACCCTGTTATATCCTGTGCCATCCTCACAATTTCTGACACACAAGAGTCCATTGTGGCAGTCATTGTTTCGGTCCTTCTGGCTGAGGGTTTACCTCTCCTTTGTCGACCTTCTGCCTTTCCAAGCATGAGGCCCTTTTCCAAGGAATAGCCTCTCCTAGCAACATGCTCAAAGTATGTGAGACGAAGCTCTATCATCTTTGTCTTCAAGAAGCACGCTGGCTGTACTTCCTCCAAGACATATTTGTTTGTTCTTTGGGCAGTCCACAGGATGTCAATGCTCTTCTCCAATTCCACAGCTCAAAGAAATAAACTCTTCTTCGCTCATTCTTATTCATTGTCCAGCTCTCAGCAAGCTATTGGAAAGATCATGGCTGAATCATATGTACTTTAGTCCTCAAACTGACATCACTGTTCCTCAGTAAGTTGGAGAGGTCCTTGACTGCAGACTTTCTCAGTGCAATATATCTCCTTATTTCCTGACTGCTGATACCAAGGATGTTAACTGTGGGTCCAAGTGAGACAAAGTTGTTGGCACTTTCAATCTTTTTATCTATCATGATATTGCCTATTGGTCCAGTGGTAAGAATTATTGTTTTCTTGATGTTGATTAATATGCAATCAGTATAGAAGGCTGTATTCTTTGATCTTCTGCAACAAGTGCTTCAATTTCTCTTCACTTTAAGCAACCAAGGTTGTGTTATCTGCGTAACAGGTTATTGATGAGTCTTCCTCTGATGTTGATGCCACCCTCTTCTTCACAGAGTCCAGCTCCTCAAATAATTTGCTTAGCATAGTGACTGAATAAGTATGGAGAGAGAATATAAACCCTGATGCACTCATTTCTTAATTTTAAACCATGCTTAATTTTAAAACATACTGGAAACCCTAAGTCTCTGTAAACTTTCATTAAAATTAATTTAAAAAAGAAAAAAAAAGCTCTGTTGCACAGCAGCCTCTTGGTCTAGGTATAGAATTATCATGAGCAGAATTTAGCTCTAGGATTCCCATTCTTGCCTTGAGCTGCAATATTGAAAGATGCTATGGCAATATTTTGAATGATCCAGAAAGTATCAAAGAAGACAGAAGGAATACACAGGGTCACTGTACCAAAAAAGAACTGAGCGACACTGAAAAATTTCAGGAAGTACCATATGAGCACGAGTCAGTGGTAATGAAGGAAGAAGTTGAAGCTGCACTTAAAGTATTGGCAAAAAATAAGGCCCCAGCAATTGATGGGATACCAACAGATTGATTTTAACTAACAGATGCAGCCCTGAATGTGCTCACCAGTCTATGTCAGCAAATTTGGAGGACAATTATCTGGCCAACTGACTGGAAGAGGTCCATATTTGTTCCCATTCCCAAGAAACGTGATCCAACAGAATGTAGGAACTATCAAACAATATCATTAATATCACATGCAAGCAAAATACTGCTGAGAATCATTAAAAAATGGCTAGAAAAGCACATAGATAAGGAACTTCCAGAAGTTCAAACAGGATTTAGAAGAAGCCATGGCACCAGGGATATCACTGCTGATGTCAGATGGACCCTAGCTGAAAGTAAAGAATACCAGAAGAATGTCTATTTGTGCTTTACTGACTATGCAAAAGCATTTGACTGTGTGGATCACAAGTTATGGTTAACATTGAAAAGAATGGAAAGTCACTCACACTGTTATGTGTCAGAGTAAAGACTCCTGCGCTCACATAGGTTGTCACTTGCGACTCATAGCGACCCTATGTACAAGAGCTCTAAACGCTGTTCTATCCTGTGCCAACCTAGCCATCCCAAACGCACTTATTCCCACCGCTCCAGTCACAGATCTGATCCATCTCATTGAAGGTCTTCCTCTCCTTCGCCGCCCCTCCACTCTGCCAAACATGATGTCCCTTTCCAAGGACCAGTCCCTTCTTGCAAAATGCTCAAAGTATGTCAGATGAAGCTTCAGAATCCTTCACTCCAAGGAGGATTCTGGCTTCACCTTCTCCAGGACAAACCTGTTTGTTCTCTTAGCAGTCCATGGTATATTCAATATTATTCTCCAGCACCACAGCTCAAAGGCATCAATTCTCTTTCTATCATCCCTATTCACTGTCCAACTCTCCAATGCATAGCACGTAATTGCAAAGACTACAGCCTGGATCAGGCACACCTTAGTCTCCAGCCTGACGTCGTTGCTCTTCAGTACTCTTGAGAGGTCCCTCACAGCTGACTTTCCCAATGCAATTCACCTCTGCATTTCCTGGCTGCTGTTACCAAGAGTGTTGACTGTGGAGCCAAGCAAACTAAAACTGTTAACTATCTCAATCTCTTCACCATCCATACTGATGCTGTCAGTTGGCCGGCTGGTGAGAATCTTTGTTTTCTTAATGTTGAGCTTCAATCCATATTGAAGGCTGCAGTCCTTGATCTTCTGCAGCAAGCGTTTCAGGTCTTCCTTAGTTTCAGCAAGCAGGGTTGTGTCATCTGCATAACGCAGGTTGTTGATGACTCTTCCACCAATCCTGATGCCACATTTCTCCTCGTACAGCACAGCGTCTCAGATGACCTGTTATGCATACAGGTTGAAAAGGTATGGAGACAGAATACATCCCTGATGAACCACCTTCTTGATTTTGAACCATGTAGTGTCTCCTTGCTCTGTTCTGACGACTGCCTCTTGGTCCAAGTATAGGTTTCACATTAGCACAATCAAATGTTCTGGGATTCCCATTCTTCTCAGAGTCAGCCACAGCTTGTTGTGATCCACACAGTCAAAACCCTGTGCATAGTCAATGAAGCACAAATAGACATTCTTCTGGTATTCTTTGCTTTCTGCCAAAATCCATCTAACATTAGCTATAATATCTCTAGTACTATGACTCACACTAGGATGCCCATTATCAGAAAAGCAAGAAAGAATAGATGCTATTAAGGATGTGAACATATTGGAACCTTTGTCCACTGCTGGTGAGAATGTGAAAAGGACCAACAACAAGGAAACAGGTCCTCAATACGCTAAACAAAAAATTAACTTATTATTTAGTAGTTCATTCCACTCCTAAGTTTATACAGATGCCATATGAAAGCAAGGATGGAAACAGATATTTGCCTGTCAGTGTTCACATCAGCACCATTCACAATAAGCAAAAGGTAGAGATACTTAATGTATCAATAGATTAGAGGGTATGCATCCCTTTTCCAGGTTTGACCTCCAAGACTTCAAATAATTCTTTTCAATAGAATTACTTCTAGTTAATCATCCATCATGCCAAGTCCTCCTTGCATGTGGACATTCCACCCAGGAAATATTATTCAGCCCTAAATAAAAATGGAATAGTGGTGTGTGCTACCACAAGACCATCTATCTATCTGAGTGGGTAAATTTGACAAATCTGTCCATCTCATTTTTATGAAACATCTAGGACAGTCAAATGCATAGGCAGAGGTTATTAGTGACTCCCAGGGGCTGAACAGAGGAAGTAAGCATGTTATTTCCGAGAAGTTGTCATTTCAACTTGGAGAAATGACAAACTTGGAAATGGTGGTGGTGATGATTGAACATGGTAAACACAGTTAATTAAATAAAACTGTACCTTTAAGAATGGCTAAAATGTTTTGTTATAGAGGTTTTATCACAATAAAATAAGAAACCAAGTGGAGGAGCAGACCGTGGTGAAGAATCACAGCCTTGCTGCTCTCTGCTGCCCTCCAAGGGCCTCTGCTTCCAGCTTTCTGCACAGATGGCCACACAGTCCTACCTGCTCTTGGGGCCACTTTGGCCTCTCCTCTGGGGTCCTTGTCTTGGTCTTGAAGCCTCTGTGTTGGTCCCCAGTTGGCTTGGCTTCCACAGGGAGGTGCAGTGACTTGGGCCGGCCCTCATGTCTGCTGGGGCCATGACTGGCCTCACCAGGCGAGCAGACCTCTGTGAGGCCCCCGGACCCTGGCTCTGGCCCCTGCACACTCGTGTGCTCTGGGCTGACCTCACTGGTGCTGGTGATGCTGGTCATGCTCAGGCTCATCTTGATTTCAGCCACGATCTGGTCGATGTCCTCCTCCTGGTCCTCCAGGTCCCCCTCTGCTCTCCGCAGGCTGTAAGGGGGGTGCCCCGTGGCATTGCCATTGGTCTCTGCCAGGTAATAGTCCTGGTACCCATCTTCCCCAGGGCAGTAATGCATGTCTCGCTCCGGATCATGGTTCTCCAGGGTGGGCGGTTCATGCTCCGGGACAGGAAGGGGGCCATCCTGGTAGTCCTGGCTGCCTTCTGGTCCTGGGCCCAGAGGATGCAGGCCAGCTGAGTCCGTCCACTCCTCCACTGCCTCCTGGCACTCGTCTGTCTCCACGTGAGGGGTGCTGTGGGCTAGGTACCCCTCACTGTTGCAGTCCATGCCGTCCAGGTAGCTGTCGTCCTCTGGGCAGTAACGGATGTAGTAAGTGATGCCTTCCTCCTCCTCAGGGAGGCCCTCATCATAGTCCTCCTCCTCAGAGGTGTTGTTGACATAGTCAGAGCTTGAGTCTCCATCAGGGCTGTGGTCTGCACACTCTTGCTCAGCGGGCTGGGGGCTCTCGAGCCTCAAGGCAGCCAGCTCCAGGCCAGTGGGCACATACTCCTCCAGGGGCAGCTCCCCTTCCTCACCCCCAGGCTCCAGGCTGTGGGCTGCTGTGGGCTCTGAGAGGACCCTGTGCTCCAGCATGTTGCCCACAGCACTCTGACGCCTCCGGCTGGCCATGGCGAGCACTCACACAGCCACCATCCTCACGGAGAGCCTGCAGGAAGGACATGTGAAAGAGCACAGTCAGATCCATGAGAACAGCCGCCCTGCAAGCCCACTCCTGTGGGGCCAGGCCCCCAGACCCATCTGAGAGCCAGGCTGACATGTAACTTTCCATGTAGGCTCCTCATCACATCAGAGAGCAAGAGGATCAGACAGACACCAGTTCACAAGAGGCTTGCCTATCAGTTACCATTCTTGCCACTTCCTCAAAAGGATCCCACAGATGATCAATACAAACAGCCATAAAATGTAAATGTTTTTAAAAATGAAAAGTCACAGAATGAGCAGCCTTCCTTGGGAAGACAGGGCACTCTGGTGGCACAGCCCACAGGACAATATGCTGCTAATCTAAAGGCTGCAGCAGTCTCTCTGGTGGTTTGAATTCACCAGCTACTTTGCCAGAGAAACACAGGCATCTCCTCCCATGGTATTTACAGCTGCTGTAAACTTTCTGGAGTATCAGTTATGAGTTTGTTCCACTTGATGGCAAAGAGGTTTTGAGTTTGAATTCAGAAGACAAAAAGACAAATAACATAGAGGAAGCCCAGCCTCTGTGCCTTCTCCAATGACTACTTAGGCCCCCCCCACCCCCCCACTCCCAGGCTATGGTTCTCCTAAGGCACAGCCATCCTCCTCCTCCTAACTCCAAACCAAACAGAGGTCACTGACGGGCCAGTAGTGGACAGTAAGCATCCAGGCTGAGCAAGCCCAGGGCAAGCCTGGTGGGAGGGCAGGAAGGGAGGCAGGAACGTGTACATGCAGGGTGCAGCTGGGGCAGCACAAGGTCTATCCCGCATCACACCTGGCCTGTGCATGTCCCACCACCGAGGCAGGTCACATGGAAGGACCACCCTCAGCCCCACCTGCCTGAGCTGAAAAGCCAGAGACACAGGAGGAAAGTTGGAGACCGGGAAACAGGGAGCAAGATTTTCCCACAGGGTATAGGATCAGGGGATGGCATGACAAAGAGTCACAAGTTTAGATAATGTTGCACTTCTTCAAACTGAGTGGTTACAGAGCACTAGGTTACTTCTGTGAATCAGCTCGGGGTCATGGCTCCTGTCAGGGCAGAGCTGTGCTCCCTAGGTTTTCTGTGGCTCACCTTTTGGATGGCGATCAGCAGGCTTTTCTTCTGAGGCACCCTCACTTCCCAGAAGAGTGCCTCAACTATTGACACAGGGCAATCTCCTCCCATGAAATTAACTGTCTCTGAAAACTCACTGGAGGGTCAGCTATGGGTCGGTTCTGACTCAATGGCACACAAGCACAGCAATTTGGAAAAATGTAGTTCAGTTAACAAATGAAATCTTAAACTAAAACAATGAGAATGAGGAGGAAACAGCTTGCTAAGTGCCGGTGTAGACATGGCAGGGCTGGAAAGAGGGGTGCAGAGGCTATGCAGGTCCACCCACACATCGGGCTGGGCTCCGACATGCCTACTGTAAATGCTCTTCCTTCAGTCTTGGCTAGCATCTAAGTTTCCTCATTTGTCTGCAAACACTTCCACTGTCTTCTAGCTTACAGTGCTGTAAATGTGCAAAATAGTACTAAATTGTTTATTTTGGTAAGAAATCTGTTCTTTTGGTATGAAATACGGAATTTTTTTTCAGTACCTTTGGAGTTCAAAAAAAAAATCCATCAAGGTACATCTGGAATATCTGTTTTGCATTTTTCTCATTACTCCAGGAATTAATTTGCTGAAGGCCAGTACCAGCTGACATGGCATCAGATTCGAACTCCTGGACACCTCATCTGTATCAGAAGATAACTGGGCTTCAGTGGTTTTCAATGGCTGGTTTTTCATAGGTAGATAAACAAACAAACAGGCTTATTAAGTATGTAGGCATACTAGTGAGAATGTGTTTCCCGGAGCAGTGACCCATAGGAGACCAAAAGGGCAACGATTGCCTCAAAACAAAGTTCAGATAGCAAGGAGGGGCAGGAAAGAAGTGCGAGTGGAAACAGAGAAGTCAGGAAGGAAGTAGAAGAGTACTGTCACTGTGAGAAGATTGCAGCTAACAGGGGGAAAGAAAATACGTATAAATTATTTCCTGGAAAACTAATTTGCTCTGTAACATTTCATCCAACCCACAATAAAATGTTTGGTGTGCTGTGGTTGTCAGTTTGTTTTATTTTTAATCAATGAGCAATCCTACCTTTAAAAGGGAAAAGTTACCCATATGTCTAGATGTCAGTGAGGGAAATTTTCCAAAAGACAAACAGTTAATGTTTCTCCTGTTGTAACTTGCATGAGTGGATAAATGTGAAATATTACACATAGAAAAACAGAATGAAATTTATATTCAAGAGACTTTAAAGTAATAAGCAAAAGATTTATTTGAATCAAGTCTTCAGTTTTCCCCCTTCATTGTTTTACATTCATTAGTTGCAAATGAATTTGTTGTTGTTGTTGTTATGTGCCCTTGAGTCGCTTGCCACTCATAGCGACCCTGTGTACAACAGCCCTAAACTCCGCTCTGTCCGGTGCCAATCGCACTGTCTCTGACACTCCCATCCCAATTATCACAGTCACTGAATCAATCCACCTCATAGAGGGCCTTCCTTTCCGCGCTGTCCCTCCACCCTCCCAAGCATGATGTCCCTCTCTAAGGACTGGTCTCTCCTCACAACATGTCCAAAGTATGTCAGATGGAGCCTCAGAATCCTTGTCTCCAAGGAGCCATCTGGTTTAACCCTTTCCAGGACAAATCTGTTTGTTTTCTTAGCAGTCCATGGTAGTCTCAATACTCTTCTCCAGCACCACAGCTCAAAGGCATCAATTCTCCTTCTATCCTCCATGGTCATTGTCCAACTCTCTGATGCATAACAAGTGATTGCGAAGACCATGGCCTGTAGCAGACACACCCTAGTCTCCAGAGAGACACCATTGCTCTTCAGTACTTTGGAGAGGTCCCTAACAGCAGACTTCCCCATGGCAATGAGCCTTTTAATTTCCTGGCTGCTGGTGCCAAGACTGTTAACTATGGAGCCAAGCAAACTAAAGCTGTGTACAATTTCAATCTCTTCACCCTCCATCCTGATGCTGCCAATTGGTCCACTGGTGAGAATCTTTGTCTTCTTGACATTGAGCCTCAATCCATATTGGAGGCTGCAGTCCTTGACCCTCTGCAGCAGGCGGTTCAGGTCCTCTTCAGTTTCAGCAAGCAGGGTTGTGCCATCGGCATAAAATTGATAAATCATCCATCAATCTTGACCCCACATTTCTCCTCATAGAGCCCAGCCTACTAGATAATCTGTTCTGCATATAGGCTGAAAAGGTATGAAGATAGGATGCATCCCTGGCGTATGCCCTTCCCAGTTTTGAACCATGCAGTGTTCCCTTGCTCTGTTCTGACAACTGCCTCCTGGTCCAAGTATAAGTTTCGCATTAGAATGATCAAGTGTTCTGGGATTCCCATTCTTCTCAGAGTCAGCCATAGTTTGTTATGATCTACACAGTCAAATGCCTTTTCATAGTCAATGAAACACAGATAGACATTCCTCTGGTATTCCCTGCTTTCAGCCAAGATCCATCTAACATCAGCTTGCCCACTATGTCTCAGCTGGGACCTGGGAGTGCCCTGTTTTTTTTTCACAAGTTTTCACCCTTTAAGCCCAGGACTGAGAGCTGGCCAATAACAGCTTCTTCTTGGGATATCTGTCCAGTGGCCCATAGGGAGCAGGGACACTGCAGTCCCTGTGAAGGAAGCACAGGTCACTCCTGCAGTGAGGTGATGAGCACGGCCTGGGGGCAAGACAGAGGCTGCTGGTCACTCTTGGAACTTGGACTTGAACTCCCTCCCACCTAATGAGTACGGGGAGATGAAAGTGGCCAGTGCAGGCCTGAATGGCATAAATATCAGGCTTATAAACTGCATACCAAGGAGATGAAGAGAACTCTGAGTTGACTTTTACAGGAACAGTCTGGACAGTTTCCATTTTGGACATGGAACATCAACAGCTGAGATGGGACTGGGTCCTGTTGGGTGATAACAGCACTAACCAAGCATGTAATGAGCATCACTGCAATAGGATCCAGGGAATATCTAGACATGGTTGAAGAAGTCTTGATGGTACAGTGACTGAAGCACTCTTTTGCTAACCAAATGGTCAGTAGTTCGAATCCACCAGGCACTCTCCGCTCCTATAATGATGACAATTTTTGAAAACCCCATAGGGTAGTTCTACTTTGTCTGTGTGGTCACTCGAAATCAGAACTGACTCCAACAACAACATTATACTTTAAAACTCAGAAAATACATTATTTGTCTTTTTTTAAATGTGAGCTACAAAACACTGCAAATGATTCAAAACAAAGTGATGTGAAAATAATACAATGTTTAGAAAATTATTAATGTCGTGTTTTAGTTTGATTATATGCCTTTGATTTGATTAAGGATACTTTGAAAAGATATATTGTATTTGTGATCATCTTAGAAAAGTTTGGAAAGAAAATTTATTCTTAATTAAAAAAAAAAGAAAACAGTTGTCCTAAATTTGGTTGTACATGTTGTAAAGACAGTACTCTTTTGATCCTTTCAAACAGAAGTTGCTCTGCAATTCCAAAGGCCATTTGTTGCTCTGCGGGATAAGGATGGGCAATCTCCTCCTGTGTGATTAACTGCCTCTGAAAACCCACAGTGGGTCAGCTACAATTCTACAGTAAACCACAACATATCATCTGGATAGAGATGGTACTGAAGCACGCCTGCATAAAGGATTCCTCAAGCATTCCAGACAGTAGTTCCTGAATAAGTATCTTCTACCCACAAACTCTAAAGGGGCTTAATAAAGTAATCTCAACTCAGGCTGATGTCTGACAATGGCACAAAAGATCTCAGCTTCCAGCTTCAAGATACAGAGGATGCTCTTCTTCTTAAAAAGGTAAAGTGGACAAAAATACTGATCACATACTAAACTTTCAGTAATGGGTTACTATTTAAGCACATCCACAA